ATTAATATGATGACCTCAATGCAAATTACTAAATGTGCAAAGAACATGTATATCTGTTTACTGTTCATTGTTATATGAGAAACACTGCAAACACAATCGAAATAAGAAGCTCAATACTGACTGTTTGATGAGCCAAACTTCTAGCCACAGGATCTGTCTGAGCAAAAATACGAGCTGGTCCACCGCTGCCACCTTTAATCTTCATCGGTGACACATAGACGATCGCACCTTTGCTTGGAAGCTTTTCGATATTTGCGACGTTTTCCAGACTAAACAGCTTGTTACTCGATAATATTCGATGTGCAAAGTAGTCTTTGCTTTGGCCTTGGTCAATAGAACGAACATCCATACCAACACCTTTGATTTTACCACTGTCAACCATCCACTGGGCAGCTTCCTTACCAATACCTGGAAACAACAACTACAATTAATCAATTCCAAATAATGAAAATTAACACATAGTATCCATATGGGCTAATAAATTGTTAAAGCCGAGGATGTGCAGCGCATAAATTGGAGGCATATCCTTACCTGTGGAGCAAGCCAAATTAAAATTAGATACTATCTTATCTTATCAATACACGTTCGCTTTTTTCGAAAGTTGACTAACTGCAAGCGCTTTTATTTAGCAACCCAGCAGACATCATTGCTGTCACTGAATCGTGGTTATACGAGGATATCTCTGATGACCTCATAGCACTTAGTGGTTATAAAATTTATCGTAATAGAGACCTTTAGATTGACGTTTACGGCAAACGTCAAACCGCTAGCGAGATTTTTGATTTTACAACTCTATTATAATAGCTTTTACACCAGTTTTGAAATATGTTAAACTTAAACTATGCTCTTTAGCAATGATTTAAGAAAGCAAATTAACACTAGTCATGCCATTCACCAAAGCAGTATATTGAGATTTGGCGTTTGAAGTTGACGTTTGGCGTATAAATTTCATGCTTTAACGACTACAAGCCCTCGTAACTGATGGGGCTAGCTACCAGTCGTGGGTCGTGGGTCGTGGGTAGAATGTCGTGGGTAAAAAGGCATGGGTAAAAAGGCGTGGGTCGTGGGTAAAAAGGCGTGGGTCGTGGGTAAAAAGGCGTGGGTCGTGGGTAAAAAGGCGTGGGTCGTGGGTAAAAAGGCGTGGGTCGTGGGTGAAAAGGCGTGGGTCGTGGGTGAAAAGTTGTGGGTCCTGAGAAAATGCCGTGGGTTCCAAGCAAAATATTTCTATATATTTACCTTTCTCCCTTTAGAA